TGTCCCTGTGGGAAACACCTTGTCAAAACTTAACACTGATGTACGGTCTCTTGCGGAACTGGGCTTATTCACGACATTTCGGAGCCTTCACACATGGCAGGACCGCTTTTTTTATGTTGGTTGCAGATTTTTCTGGCAGTGTGATCGGCCTAAATGTGTACAGCCAACTGACCCGATGCAAAACATATTTCTCCTCCACTTTCTTTCTACTGTCGTTTGTGACCCAGAAGCCACAAAGCGAGTGCTATATAGACTATAGTCCCGAAATAATGCACCAAACCCATCACCCGTGGTATTTTGGTATCATCGGAAAAACTATATCTAAACTTTCTTCTGTAGCAAAAACATAGTTAGCCCCCGGCATCTTCTGTAAATCTCGGGGGAACGGTGAAAAAGAATGGATCATTAGCCAAGAATACATCCGCAAGACCGTCTTTATTCAGTCGTTTGAAAAGTTCTCCTGGTGTTCCGTTTTTTCAAATTTGTCGTGCTTTTTGTAATGGCTGATGGTTTTTTATAGCGTTCCATATCCGAATTACTCGGGGAATTCGTATTGTACTAGTCTCTTCGTTGGTGAAAAATTTGACTAGTTAGCGTCACAAACCAAGCTAGAAAAACCCCTTTTTGTACAAACAAAAACCAACAAGCACGTCAGGATGAAAATTGCAGTACTTTATGTTTTTCATTCCGGGAAGGCGAATAACAGACGAGAATTCAACTTGAGCACATATCTCAGAGGTGTATCGTATGACATCTGCAGAGTCGCCGAACGTGCTCTACTAACCAGTGAGATAAAGGGCAGAGCTATAAACTTTCTAGAAGTGTTCGACTTCCACTCCAGCCTGAGTCGAAGCTAGCTGCACAAAATATCCAACACATCTTTCTTTCTGTCGAAGTTCTCAGACTGGAAACCGCAGTGAACAGCAACTATGGTGTTCAAATTACTTTTCGTCCTCTTAGTGAGCCAGTCTATGTTGAAAAATCGAGCACTCAAAAGCGGTTTCATTCCTAGTGGAATCAGAAGCAGTGCGTATCTCACGGCTCTGCGACCTTCCGGCCAGTAGTTGAACGTTTAACCGTTCGGTTTTGATCGCCTGAGCAGCAGTATGATTACCCCTCACAAAATATAGTGCCACGCATCTTCCAATTATAGAAAACTCATCATCTGGCCGCCTGTTCATTGACTACTTGAGTAATGATCTCTCAGAGGTGTGTTTCATTCATCTTATGAAAATCTTCATCATCACCAATATAGAGAAAAGACTATCTTTAGTGTCCAAAAATACCGCTCACGGTAAACGGTCCGCTCTTCTTGCTCGATTTTGTCTACTTTGACGCTATTTGTTGTCCTTTTTTCTTCAGTAGATAAAGTGTTGTTTGCTTTGTTTCACGTGACAGCTGGAATTGAATTATCACTTGTTAGTTTTCTCCATTGAGACCGTTGGATTTGAAGGCCGCTTCGAGGCTGGCCAAATATTCTAGACTTCCAAAATCCTTGAAAATGAAATTAAGCCCTTTAATAAGCACGAAACTGTTGTTATTTTGCCAGCTGACAAAAAAAGAATGACAGTCATTCTAGAGAAAGCGGAATACATCGACAAAACCAACTCTCTACTAGGTGAGGCAACCACATGCCTCCGTTTGCAGAAAGACCAAACCGCAAAACTCACGAACAAGATAAACAAAACCCTGATGAGACTCAAGGATTTTCACAAAATTCCAGAGGAAAGGTTCCAGAAACTGAACGCTCATGCCTCAGAAGTTGCTCGATTCTATGGAGTTCCAAAGGTTCACAACAAATCGGTACCATTACTCCCTATTTTCTAACTACCAGGAGCACCCGCGCACAACATTCCAAGAGAATTATGGAAGTGGCTGAAGTAACTCACCAATGAATTCCAGTTTTCAGTCAACAATGCAGGGCAATTTCTGAGAGACTTCAAAAAGTGAAAATCGAAAAAGACGGATTAATGGTGTCCTTCGGTGTAACCTCACTGTTCACATGAGTTGATTTAAACGCAGCGGGAATGACGGTTGCTGAACTCCTGGAAAACCGCGGAAACATCAACGGAACGTTCAGAAGGGAAGAAACATTTGAACCGCTAAATCTGTGCTTGACAACCTAATTTGAGTTCAGTGAAGAATACTATGAACAAATCAAAGGAGCCTTTGCTTTACCAGACAATTAAAACACTTCAACGTTAACTTACTGCTGCAAATAACTGTTGTGCCCACTCCGGTGTCTCACTGTCGGAAAAAGACTCGTTAACAAGGAAAAAACAGGTTTACTGCTGACAAGCAAATGTAAAGATTACAAGAGGCATCGCGATATTTAAAACGCACATTCGACCTTGAATCCAGGCTGTCCGGTCGGCGTAGGGTGGACGCTCATCATCATCAGCCGGTGCTTCTAAGTGCTGCTTGAAAACCCATTATCGTGGGTTGTTGGTGAATTCATTGACTCTCTCAGCGTTCAATGGAAAACGGACTATTCTGGCCTGGTTGCTTGACGGCTTCCCACTGTGGTTTTGATGGGGTTTGTGTGTCTCAGTATGTTTCTGGTATCCCGGGATTATTTTCAGGAACCTGACCTTCCTGACACTTATTGGTTGAGATGTTGCTTCTTACTAGTGTAACGGTGATACTACTGATCGGGAGACATGCGAGTAGTATGTGTTGTTCGTAGAATTTCGCTTTGCGTTGATTGAGAAAGGGAATTCTGTTGCGGAATTCGCGGGAGCACTTTGTAACATTTGCTTTTATTTGACTAACGAATGATTGGAGGCAATGAATTTCCAGGAAGGCTTGTTCGGGAGAAGATCTGTGTCCAGGTTTTGTAAATAAGATGCAGATTAGAGTTTTGCTTCCTTGTTCAATGGTCTGTAACCGGTCAGTTGGCATTTCCGACTAACTCCGCAGCGAAGGCCTTCTTCCTTTCACCAGTAGCTGATTTTCCTCTATTGTCCCTCCCTTAACGGTCGTGCAACTCTGTGTCTGTCCTTGGCTTCCTGCTCCACCCACAATGGTATATCACAGGGCACGGGAGCTCCAGGCAGCCTTTTTATGATGACAGAGGAAGACTATTACAGCTGTGTTTATAGGGTAATCACATAATGCTCCACAAGGTTGCCCTAGAATCGCCGTGAGGGGGCGGGAAGCTAAGGATGCTGACATTCTGACCAATCAGGGCGTGCCTTCGTTTGGTCCGTAGCCCGCACGTGACACATCCGTCCAATCGATGTGATGTTCGATTATTAGGGACAACTGGCCTCCGGACATCCCTTTGTTGTGGTTTCTGTGAAAATAGCTGTGCTATTCGCAATCAAACGAACTGTCGTGCACATCAAATAGTTAAACAATGATCTGTGGTAAGAAATCCCTCCCCCAGTTAGCACACATTGGCCTTCTCTGTCTGTATGATCTGCTCTCCTCAAAATATACCCGGGAAGTCCGGCTATGATTGTTCCGTAGAAGAATTCCATTCGAACATTGCTGTAGAGTAAAATAAATGACCTGGATAGTAAGGAGTACTTTTGGCTCCTAGAAAATTTCTACGATAAACATTGCCTCTACTTCGTTTTTTTTATGGTTCATCAAAAAGTATACGACATGGATTTACTCAAGATTTTAGTTTCCATTATTCTTGTGGAGGAAAGGGTATCTGTCAAGACGCGCCCAAGCAGGAAAAAAAGCACATGCGCAGAGAGCGACGCGTCCCCAAAGTCACCATCGGTACGACGCGTCCGGAAAGTAGGTGAATTGGTGGCTCTCACCAAACACGTCTTAGCGACATACGATCAGCTTAGTGGGCCTGAAATTGTTCACGACTGGAACACCACCATTGGCAGTACAGACCGAACAAGCGAACAGCCATAGTTGGCCATTTAGTCATCCTATATATGCACGCAGACGCTCTGTATGTTTTGTTCTGACAAAACAGCCGTGTCCCCAGTTCTCTGTCTTCTCCCTATCGCCTAGTCTGGCAGGTTCAGTGTAGGCGTAACCAATAGACGGCCACGCACAATACAACAGTACCATATATCTGGAGATCCACTGATTTTTAGAACACTTACAGATGGTCAGTAGAACGTGATGAGCGTTCACGCTGGGAGTCAAACCGGCTAAAATCTGTGTACTTTGTGGAAGTTCTTTTGTTATCCCGGCGCACAAAACATTTGAAGCACAATTAAGGTCCACCGGGTGGTCAGCGTATGTCCGTCAAAATGTATTATAATTTGCTCAGTTGTGCTATTTCCAGACACTTTACCAAACTAAACTACTACTACTATTACTAAACTTTAGTTAAGGTCATTTGTGGTAATGAACTGAGCCCAGATTAATGAGGCAAAATCTCATTGAAAATGAACTAGGGTAAGAACAGAAATCATGTATAGTCCTGTTGTTGCGCTTGGCTGATGCCAAATGTCTTTCGCTTTACGCTGGTTTTAGAGAACGACTGATCATACGAGATAAGACATTAGCGGTCTCTCTTGACGATAATCTTAATTCAACAGGAAAGTGCAATCTGTCTACAAGACGAGAAAGCGTGAATTTGAGTTGGAACAATACACTGAAGTGTGTGATTGGTTGCACGTTGGCATGACCCAGGAAAGACAGCTGAAAAGTGCGCCTGTCTGATGTTACAAAGTAGCTAGAGGCTTCCATTGAAGCAGCCATCTAAAACGGACTGAATCAGCTATCGGTTTAAATCTATGGAAGAATTTGCGCATACAAAATAGTAAATAATTTAAGCAATAGGATTTTGTGCATATTTCTCGGCAATTATATACAGGAGACTTTATCTGTTCCGTTTCGCCTTCTAAAATTCGCTGATTTCTACACAGTGAATCGATCAAAAGCTGTTTGAACAGGCCACAAGTCACGTGCACGCAGTTCACACAAACTGAATCAGTTCAAAGCCTAAGCAGACCACGTGATTTCTACAACTTTCTAGTTGGAGGAATGTAGGTGCAAAATGTGACTTCGTGAGGCACTGAGCAATGGCCGATCAGGAGTTCGAGAATACGGTGAAGAAACTCCGCCTTTTTATCCAAGCCATCAAAAAGAGGGATGCTGTGGGGCTAACACAGCAACTAGAAGACTGTTTTCTTTTGACAACTGATGCATCATGGACAGAACCAGAAGTAATCCTGAGCAAATTGTACCCTTATGTTTCCAAACTTGAGCAAATATTACAGAACTCGTTTAATGCAAACAGTAACTGTATACTAGAGTCGTTTAAATATATGGTTAATGCACTCCTTTCACGGCAAAGTAGACGGAAAACTCCCGAATTGCGAGATTCGGATATTGACCTTGTACGAATTGTTAATAGAGCTATTGATCAGTCTGATCCATTACGTACCCTAAATGCTCTAAGACCACTGCTGCGAGAACAGATGCTTCAAGCTTTGGATGGATATCAAAAGTCTGGATTCATTCATTACATTGCTCGTTTGTACCATCATGAACTTGGGGTGGCAAAATCGGACAAGGGTGCAAGTCTCAGTGGGTCAGAGTTAATTGCTGCACTGGATGTTCTAGCTTGTATTGTGTCCCTGAACGAGGCATTGGATAAAAATGACCCTTATATGCTAATGTGTTCGTTGACCAATCCAGATGCCTACTGGGAGGAGGTTGTATATCATTCTAAAGATAGATTTCCACTAGAACATTCAAAGTTATATTTAACAGCTCTAAGAAAAGCCCGTGAAAGGAAGGCCGACTCCGGAAGGCTTCCTATTCTGACACATGCGGAAATACAGACTGTGATAACTTTGTGCGCTAGAGCTGGGTCGCGTAAGTCCCCAGTACTGAAACGGATTGAGAAAACCCCCACTTCTCCCAAACCAAAGGATCCAGGTTTGAACATGGCTTTGGGCGAAAGTGCCAAATCACCCATCCCTGAAGCTGACAAAACGATCACAACTCTTCAAACCATATCATCGACCGAAGACCTAATTAGCGGCCTAAAGCGCAACTGTCCAATGGGTACATTTGAGGTTCTACGATCTATGCGCATGGAACTCAGGCTACCCTCACTCGATGAAGAATACGCAGATATTTATCACTCATTTCTTCTTTTTGCTTGGAAACAGTGGATCCGCCGATTTTCCGCCGTTCATGGCACACACTCCCCCGCTCGGCAATTTCTGTCAGACGAAGCCATCACAGCCGTGAAAAGATCAAACAGCTTAATAAACAGAATGCTACAGTCAGGTGTAGCAATAGCAAAACTAAACGTTGCCATAGGTAAAATGAACGTGGAAGAAATAGAAATTTGCTTAAAAGATCCCCACCTATTTGTATTAAGACAACTTCTTGTTCAGAGAAATCTATCGCCAAAGGAAACTCAGTCTGGTCACGTGAAGCTGAAGGACTGTCGATCTACGTACGCAGCAAGTCTAATTCAGGTCAGTGGATTGAAAGTCGTTTCGTTTGTAGTTAATTCCTCTAGTAAATCTTGAAAGGTGGCTCAGCTAGATGCAAGAAAGTCCGTGTATCGCAATTCTACCATCTGCGTCGTATTAGCAAGCTCGAGAAAGGCGTTTGCAAGCGAAACAAGTTACGGGAAAGGAAGTCTCTGAAATATCACATACGTTCCAGTGGACTAAGCATCTTTTCCTGCATGATATTAGTACTGTCATATGTTAATGTTAGAGAAGCCTTGCAGTACACTCATATCCGACGAGATCGAAACCGAATAACAACAGATTTGTTGTATTTACAATTTGTAAGTGTATTTTACATGTCCTCTCGTAATGTGGGATTTATGTGACTGCCATCTGGGAACGTCGGAAGTCTTTACAATATGCCTTAATATTTGTATCCAATCCGACACTTCTTTTGTTTGCGGAGACTGGCCACTATTTTCCAGGCGGTTCGTCCTGTCTGAGTCGTTAACTGCGTAAAAATGATATCGCCTAGAATGATGGTGGAACGTTTAAATTCAATTACGAAGCTCGGCGAGAAGGCCAGCCAAAATGCTCTATTTGTCAAAGATTCGCTTTCGCTGTCATCTACAAAACTAAGGTGTGATGTTCACGACAACTGATAGGATTTAAGTTTTTTGTTCCTACATATCCCGCAACCGCCTACAACTAATATGTTCACCCCTGAAATTAAGTGATTATCTGTTCTTTTTCATTGACCCACTCATGTAAGCCGTTAAGTCTGCTAAAAATGCGCACTTTAGCCATTTCTTTTTAGCCTCATTCCTGAGCTGATTTACGGGCATCTTATTACTGAGAAATGTTCCCACACACTGAACACCGGATTGTTATCCAATCGAAATTACCCGTATGTGGAACGGGGAAAATGGTGAATTTTCAGGATCCCTCAATGGGTATGGTAATTTGATATGAATGATGTGGTGGCCCTAGGTGTTACGTTTTTCTACCTTATTTTTTCTGGCTTTGTCCAGGTCACCTGCCAGGATTAACTTCCGTTCTGAATAGCAAGATCCTTAGTCGACTGAGTGTGAAACTTGGCCATCATATTTACTGTACCCAATACGGATCTCAGTTAGTTCCATTCAAAAGTAAGAAATTACCGAAAGGCCAAATTTCCGTCATTCGATGATAACGGCAAAGTTGAAAAGAATAGCTGCGAAACACTACTACGCAACACAGAGACAATAAACTTTTTGAAAGTCACGGAAATACCGGAAGAACGGAATTTAATCTCACAGACGTCCCATACTGCCAACATACTACAATTGATCTGGTTGGAAAGGGATACGCCCGGCAAGTTGCACGAGCCTTTCACCCGTGAAGGCTTTAATCAAGGAGCCAGTCAACACATGACCATGCGATGCGAAAGATTGTAGGATGAGTGGCTCTAAATCTGATCCAATTAGGAGATTGCTACACTAGTAGCCCAACGGCAGTCTATCTTAAGCCATTGGTCAAGAGACTGCGTGTTCGAATATTCCTGTAGATTCGTAAGTTGAGCTCTTCTGATGACTCTCAGTGGGAAGGAAACAGCTGTACAGCTTTTCAGCATAGATCGACTTCAATTAGGAGATAAAATCTCGACAGAGAAAAAGAGAGTAAACCTAGATCTCCTCGAACCTCAACGAATTCAATGCTTGGCTGCACTTCTCGGTCCTCGGTATCAGTTATTGTGCTACGTGTCCGTTACCACCATTTAATAGCGGAAAACCGGACTTTTTATCCAGTCCGTTTCCTAGGCTACACGTGACTTTGTCCTGAGGGCAGTTACATTCCATTCAGTCACATGTTTCTATTTCCACTATCCCCAGCATCACCACTTTTGAAGTATCACCAACAAAAAAATGCTGTAGGTGTATGGAAGGGTGAACGCTGGTTTGCGTTCAAATTCCTTCACAGAGGGCACCATGCATCGGAAATGCCAGCGTTTGTTAAGGAAATAAAGGCAGCTTTTTTGCCCTGAGAATATTACTCAAAAACTCAATTACAAAAGATTTCCCTCTGACGTTCTCTTTTCTTTAAGCGACAGGACAGGGTATATGCCTCCGAGACGACCGATAGAAAGTCGTATCTTCTGCGAATTCGTCTTTCTTAAGAGTTTGCTGCCGAAATACGCTTCCTGGGCAGTTATACGGTATTTTTTAACCGACGGTTTCCCATCCACTAATTCAGTCATCTTGATACCGGTTAAACACATAACTCTGAACTATATTAGTCACACCGTGTATATCGTTGTCACCAAATGCTAAATAGTTATTAGGGCTCTATATGGCCTTGGTACCACAGCTATCCCTCAGTGAACAGCATATCCACATCTGAGTGAAAATGTCTACAATGAGACTGCACCTTTTGCTTTATCTGGTACAAGTGAACAGTGCAATACTCACAAGGAAACCCAGCTACTACACCCGCTCAATGGGAATAGCTGTTTTGAGCTGCCAAAGGGTTTCCAGCTGTTCAATAAGTGATGATGTGTTTTGCAAGGAATCTTACTTTTATGATTATTCAAAACCATGGCAACCTTACGGGTCATTCATCAAACAAGCCTAAGAGCTATGGATGAAAGGAAGATCCTGAAGATCTAGAAAATTGAAGTACCATATTTTCAGCAAACGATTAGAAGTTCTTTGGACCTTGAATAACCAAATCTCATTTTATTTTTTACAGCGGACCCAAAAATTATTGATTATTTCGTAACTGAAAACTCATTTTCCAGTGTATCTGTTTAGATCCGAATATTAGGAAAGGGTTCAGGCTTGAAGATTTCCAAGCCGTGAATGACTATGGCGGGGTACATGTGATCATAAGCTTGTAATTTGCCCGAAATATTTGTTTTATTGGGCTATATTTCTCAACTGAACAAACCTAGGATGTCTCAATATTGCTCCGGTCCATTATCTCGGCCCATTAAGCACATCAGTCTGTATATATGCTTCGTCAACTATTCATTTACAACTCCAGCTGATGTTGAAGGGAGATTCAACTGAAGTTTACATGAATTCCTCTTTTTACGGTTTATCCCATAACGAGACCTGAAGGTTACAATTAAACACTAGCAGTTAATTTTTCGTCTTTTCCATGACGAAGAACAACTCCTTCCTTAGATTCTATGGTTATAATTGAATCCGTCAGTGTATAATAGCTCCAATAAAGAACAAACTAAGTGTTTCAAGGGGTCATTTCTTAGAACGGAGTGACGCTTTGTCATGAAGAATATGGACAAGAACCTTGAACAGTGATCATTCAGGTACAATGAACTTCGTCTTGGATGCCCTTACGTAACGTACATCTCTCAGTGACACCCTTCGCTTTGGATGAGCTGATCAAATCATTCAATCAACTTATCAGCTCTAAACCGTGTGCCATAGGCACGTTGGTTACAGCCGCTACAGTTCCCATCACCGGAAAGCGGGAAAGTGGAATACAAAACAAGCCTTGGAGGTGAAGGCATGCTCATCTGACTAACTCCAAACAAGCATTGATGAAGTCTGGGTTCACTTTACAATGCAGAATGAAGAAATCTAGTGACCGGTATGGTTGTTTGCGAGCAGTCAAGATATTATAATATACTTTTTAATAGGATAGCTCACACATACAAAAGGATGCTTCGTAGATCTTTGGTTCGAGCAGAACACCTTAGTAAGACTGGGACCCACAAAAAAACGCATTTGTGGCCACCTAGTGGTACCATTTATTACCCTCGCGCTGAATTCTATTGTTGCGTCACTTCTGACATGACCGTCGTTACCACCACTTTCTGATCTACGACATGCAATAGAGACGGACGCAAAATGCTTCCCATTTGCCGCTCTCCATACCAGTTAACCAGGCGGGTCGACTGTGCCAAAAAACTTCACTTAATCGCAAAAGTGTTCAGACACCACTACTGACCAAAATCTGAGGTATCCAATAGAGTGAATCTGGCTGTTCCAATAAACACAACGAATCGAGTTTTCAGTTTTATGTTCGTCACAACTATTAAGGCCTACTTATAACCACTGGTATAAAAGTCCTTTTTACACCGCTAAGCTACAAACTGATACTGTTGTCTCGCCTTTCCTGATCTTTATAGTACACGTCTGAGAAAATGAGTCGAATTTCTGGTGAACCCCGTGTTCGGGGTGCGTTTACAACGTCCCTACTGCGTTTGACCCCAGCTACGGCCTATTTGGATAGCATTTGTTCACACATCGTTGGATCTGGGTGGCTATGGAACTATGTACCGGCTGTCGTTCCGAAGGATTTGTGCAACACTGATGAGGAGGAATTTTTCTTGAGTCACATGTCAGTCCCGTATTTTTATAACATATTTACAGGAAGCACCGTTCGTTGGCCGATCACGACAACCAACCCACCGATTTCCTTTGTGTGGACAAACGATTTGGCCAACATTCATTGGCCGCTAGGGATCCGAGAACCACCTAGTTTAGATCCAAGTCTCCTGAACCTGGATGACTGTGTTACCGTTTGGGATTACGTTAGCACAATGGGTTACAGTTTAGAGAGGTGGAAAACACAGCCTTCCCCAACTCAAGTTGTTGAACAAAACAAACCGGACGAGGGAAGGATGAGGCCATACAATCAAACCAGACAGCGGCAAGTTGAACACAATGTGACAATTAATAGCGGTCGAGTCACTCCAGGACTAAGGACGCCGCGACCAACTACGCCACGTGTCCAGAGGCGTGCCAGCCCACAGCCTTCACAAGTTAGAAGAACACCAGTGCCAGCACGAGCACCAACATCAACCTTAACCGTACCACCTATCATCAATCCAGCTGGAGAGTGCCGTAGTCATCAGGATTATTCTGATACAGAATTACCAATGGATGCACCGGTCAGTGTTACTCCAGTGGATCAACAGTTGGTCGACAGCGTCGTACAAATACAAGCCCACTGGAGGGGCTACCGTCAGCGCCGTGAATATCAAAATCGCCTGAACTTTTTGCACAGTGAATCTAGTGAACAAGCAGCGATTCGGTTGCAAAACTTTTGGAGACAGCGAAGAGCTCAGCGTCGCATGTCAAGTTTGCTACTCGAACACCGTCGGTATATCCGAAGTGTGATGAAGATACAGGCTTTATGGCGCGGACGGAGAGAACGTGAGGCACATCAGTCATTATACTATCTAGCCAACCTGTCCAACCCAACAGGAAGACCTACTTCACGCATGATGCTTGCACAATTCAACATGCATGCATCAACTAGAGAGCCATTGGGCTCCGCCAATGCTTTGGCTTGCTTGTCAAAGTACATACACTGCCTTGATGGCAGGGCCTCGAAAGTTGCCTATGAGAAGCAAATGGCCTGCTTTCTACTTGGAAAAAGTGTCCTCGCGAGTGTGAACCGGTTGAAGAATGTCAATCAAGAACTTGCCAACTCTGATCAGCTGATAAAAATTCTGGTACAAGTTCGTTTACATGGTCGTACCCAGTCGTTTCGCAGTGACCTTGAACGAAATGCTGTCACTCCGTTCAGAGAAATCGAACAAATTTCTGCACACAATACTCACCAAATTAGTTCAAACGATAAATGGCTAGACCGTTATGGAACAGTATGTTATCTCTTGTACACACAACCTGACTATCTGGTTAGCCTTCTAACAAATATTCCGGAGTCAGCCATCTGGAATAGCAACTTGCTGAACAAACCATATGGTTTTGATTCCTATAAGCTAAAGAACTATGGAATGTTGCTGGAACGTATCGTACTGGGAGTCTTTCGTTATGCTTCTACTTCTCCTGACCAAGTACGCCTGTTGCATGTGTTCTCCAGGTTTATTCATCATTTTGTCGGTGCACTCCACGTTACGCCTTCCGGTTTGGATTGCTTCACGGATAAGAGACCTTGGCCCTTCGTCTTGCGTTTGGCCGTGTCCTTAGCTCGAATGCGTTTACACAGGACAATGACCAGACGATGTGATGATGAAGCCTACTTGGTAGAAAACAGGGAGATGATCAAACAGAATGGTCTACTGAGAACAATTGTCTGCGAATTGGTGGAAGCCATACTGGGAGCTGATCTACTGGAAAATGGAAAAGAATCTGAGGAGGTGATCGAATTGAACACAACGGTGAGATTGCTATTTTTTTGCTTGGTTTCTGCTCATTGGTTGACCCTTCTTTGAATCGAAGTTGGAAATGCTTAGTTTGTTTAGCTGGATTTTTTATTCAACCAGTTGAGAAAGGATGCTACGTCTTATTGTAATTAGCTGCTTTTTTGTTGTCACCAAAGGTACCCAACTAAAGTTCGTATTGATAGAGGATGAAGTAATCAAGAAATTTCACGTGCACTAACCGTGCACAACAGAATTAACCTTCACACATGTAGCTGGTGTGTGTGACTATGATGCAATTATGGCTTATCTTAGGCCTTAAGTACGACCTATAACCCGATTAGATTGGCTTCGTTCCAGGCATGTTGGACTCACGGTGAAGTCGATCCAGGGCTGCCTCCTCCCGTTCCGAGTGATTGTTGTTGAAACTAATGCCCGTTCAAGAGTAAAACTCACTCAGAAAATTCTGAATTATTTTAATTGCAGAAGTTTGGATACGCATCAGACGGGATGCTTCCTACAAGAGGGCGACACCCTCACCCAAGATTTGGGATAGTTTGCATGTGTGAGCTGAACCTCAATGAAAACTGTGACGTAATGTTCACGGTGAACGTTGTCTCATGGTGCGTATTCATGGGAAACCGTCCACATTTGCGCGTTAAGTATAGGCCGGTTGTTCACAATTCGTCCTGCCCAACTACATTTTAGTTGGCGACAGATCAAAACGCACATGAATTTCTCAAGCAATGAGAAGTTCTGGACATGTAGCGCAACACCAGTGTTGAATTCCCGATACAGAAGTTGGAGTCACCCGTACGTGTCATGATCACGAATATCGAACTATGAAGCGAAGAATTTCGAATATGGCCGAAGATTATTTCAGTCAAGTTTCGAAAAATATGTAAGCGAAACAGATGAGACTGGCGCGACCACTTTAAGAGTGAAGTTTCGAGCACTTTGGACAATTCTCATGGATACCTACTGTTAGCAATTCGGATTCTCAAACTAAACTGGAACTCGAGACGGTAAGACCAGGACCTATTGCAGCGTTCAACTGCATGTCTTCTGTGGAGAGTTCGTCCTGTAAGTGAAGCCAATCTATGCTGAAAAGCCGAGAAGCACTGTACAGCTGTTTCATCCTTATTAGGAATCATCAGCAGTGCGCATCTCACGAAACTCCGGAGAGTCTCGAATCCGCGACCTCCTGGCCAGTAATTTGAACACTTAACCATTCGGCCACGAGAGGCTGATCTGCAGTGTGATTAACTCTCACTTAGACAGGATATAACACCGCTCATCCTTCAATCACGGGATCCACATCACTCGGTCACACGTGTTGACTGGCTCCTCGAGCAACGACTTCTCAGAGGAAGTTTCATTCATCGGGTGAAGTTTATTCTTCCAATGAGCTACTTATATATTGTTGGTAGTGTGAGCAGATTTGAGGAGATTTCATTACCCTGGAAATCACAATACAACCTTGTTTTGGTCAAGTACAATTCATGCTTAGAAATAACGCGTGATTATGCTTTGATCCCTCATTGCTTAGCTTCAAATCTTACTTACTCTTACTCTTACTATTCCAGTCAAATTAGCAATATCGGGAAGACTTAGAACTGTAAACACGGATAGTTTACAATCAAATCGAAGGTAGCTAAAAGTACTTGTTCCTTGTCAATATCCATTTTGAACAGCATACCAAAGTCTATATGATACTAGCCCAAAGGTTGTTCAGGTCTACACGGTGCATGGTACTCATCAGCACCAGCTTTCGTTCAGACTTTGCTAACCATAGTAGATATTAGGGAGCGGGTGTATATTTTTACCCCAAAACCACTTTTCCTGGTCATCCTTTCCCTACTGCTCCTTCGTCATCAGTTAATATCGNCCCTCCTGCTCCTTCGTCATCAGTTAATATCGGCTTTCCCTCCCCCACCACTAAATACCAGGGAAGCAGGTGAAAATACCCAAGGAACAGTAAAGCTAACACACGTTTTCCCGAGGTGGCTTTGAGAAATCTGCTTACTGTCCTTGAGTTGTTGGTTGACCAGCTCCTAGTTAGGACCGTTCCAGTGAACATGTCATTTGTCTTTTGTATATTCGGACACTTCTTGGGAGGGACCATATAAAAGAAAGTCACTTTAAAAGACCTGTGAGGAAAGTTTAAGAAATCATACGTGTCGGAACAGCAAGTGATCAAAACACACACAATAAGACTTAGTGAGCGAGCACTGACTTGCCATCAATCTCTCACCCTAGATGAGGTGATTCAAGAGGACATTACTCTGCTAATACGTTCATTTAAAACATATCTACACACTGCGGCTTTTGGTATTCATCGTTCATTACAAACACAGTTTATTCAACTACGAATGCAGGTCACCCCAGGCTCCTCAGATTGAATCTTATCCCATAGAATTTGATACTAGTATAATGCTTGTTTACCATTATTGCTGAAACGTACGGCTGATACTCAAGCTGCCAACAGATGCCTCACACACAAAAGAGGATTGTTCCAAATATTCACCATGGTCAGGCACGTGACTTCTGAGTGAATGTCACTGTTTCGGCAAGATGGATGTCGGATCAACTTGCCGATGCAATCCTGTCGTAAAAGGATTCCCCCTAATTTCCAGTCTGCATCTCCTGAATTTTCACTGTTAATACACTGTTAATTTCCACAATTCGAACGACCAAGCTCGATGCATATCCTTGGTTTTTTTAGGGATTGCAACCTCTAAAAACTTCAGATGAAGACTTTTGGGAATATAACACTGATGGATTCATACAAAATAAAAGCAACTTCGCGACAAATCATCAGGCATGCGTCACCAGTTTTTCAAGCATGCCACAAGGCGATTCTGAGACAACGCCACGGTTACTAAGCGCAACTGATGCTTTTTTTCATGGGCTGTTTGTCGAACCTGGACCACAACTTATACCACAGTGCTTGAAATATGTCGCAGTGGAGCTTTATCGAGCTTTGAGGCACGTATTCCCTCGTGAACCGGAAAAAAAGCGACTTAAGGTGAGTCATGCACCTTGACAAACGTTGCGCAAAATGTTAGGTTCGGTAATTTTAATTGCTGGTCAACACGAATTTACACAACCAGCATTCGTGACAGGCTACAGAACGAACTTTATATTCTTTTTTTCATGGTTATCCCTTTAAGTAGAAAACATTTCTGTTTGTTTTCAGTATTTACTTTGGAAATAACATGGTCGGCCGGTGACTGTGTGCTCATCATTTGGTAGCTCATAGGAAGATGTTCACGGGAAATAGGGCCTGAGCTCTTCAGGGAGTTACAACAATTTTAGGAGGATTCTAGTCTAACGTGTGTATGGAAATAGCAGATATTAGCAAAAATACACTACTGCTTTTATGTATTAGGTTTTGTAGTCCCAAGTATGAGTTCATCAGTCAGTCAACGCTGAGAAACCCAGTAGCACTTTACAGCTGGTTCAGTCATGCCATAATTTACCAGCCGTGCCTACCACATGATCCCATAAAGTGAGTTGAACTGGTATAATTCGACCAATAGTGAGTGATTAGCAAATAACAAACCGGTGCTTAGACGGCCATCAGAGCAACTTTTCCTTTCCAACCGAAGCCACGTAGACCTGTTTTGTTTGGGTTCGGATATATTTGACAATACTGATTGCATGATTCATGGGCCGTCCATCAATTTTTTGCCCACCCGCAACTTGCCAGCACCGAAGATAGTGTCCCACATGGAACGGAGTCAGTAGGCGGACAGAAACCTACAAACTCTTACATTAAAGATACTGAAAACTTGTCATTCTACGACTATCCACTTTCGCAGCTGTTGGCAGTGTGGTGTTTCCTGTCAGAACTCTGACATCTCAACGTCCAAACTAGGATTTACTGGTTCAGAATGTCTGAGATATGTACCTTGAACCAGATCAATATGAAGCACCACACAGGTGTCAATTAACCTTACTAAAATTTCAACTCAATAAACAACTGGTAATAGGCAACATTTGCATAGGACAGCTGGAATTTTAAATGGATATTTGGGGGGCGGGATATGGCCAGCATGCTATACAGCTCCTCTGGCTGAGAATACCATTTAACTTGATTAACCAGGTCATCTATATTTCGGAAGTTAGCTCTCATCATCATCATCATTGTCAGCTGTAATAACCGCGTACTCATCGTACAGTGGTTGTAGCTGCCGCAGTTTCGTTCACCGAATATTTGGGGGGAGAGGTAGCCCTGCCCGCACTCTATAAGTTAGTCTAGACAAATCTCTCTGAAGGTCTTGACATTTCTAGTTTTTGTTACTTTCTCAATATCAATATCAGTAGCACTTAAACAACAGCAAGCTTTCCTCTTTTGTGGAAAAAATTCGCTGTTTTGCATTCATCCTTCAGGCTAGTGGCTTGTCTTAGCCAGCCAAACAAAGACGTCCAGACGGGGTTTATCGAAAGTGTGTCTTGTCTGAGCGTCGTCTTATTATTCGTGGTCGTTTCAAGTCTGCCAGAGAGAATCAGTGTTGACATCTCTACTGCATATTCAAAGTTGCTCTCAACCATTCGTGTACTTGATGAACCAAGCAGACAACCAGTTGCATTCAAATGAGCCGTTAACACAACTTATGGTGACTGCCAGTGAGTCTTAAGCTAGGGAAAGTGAACATGAAATCTAGGTGATCCAAACCCCACTGAGTACACTGATGAGTCCTAAACAAAACAATCATCATCATCATCATCATCACCATCATCGACAGCATGACATCAGTGTTCAACACTGATGCTTCACTGCCGTACAACCATGACTTATTTGGAAGCCTTATTGTGAAGAAAAGAATAAAGGTAGCTTGGGGAGGGAATTAGTGCTAGCTTAACACAATCATTCCGAG